AGATTTTTTGGGGAAGAGTAACTATTCACTCAAGGAGCACGAGGGTGGACACAGTTCTCAATGGTAGTATCGGCGAGCCAGACTGTGGAGTAAATATCACGACAAGAAATAGAACCAATGGTGGACTCCTGGCAGTGGATGACAGTCCAGTGGAGGCGGTCATGTCATCACTGTATCAGGTTTAAAAGTCGACAAAGAATGCGGGAACTTTTAGTTTTGAGAAGAATGAGATATGGTTGCGGAACATGAACTTTATTTCCCCAAGTCTTCTTTCCTTCGCTCAAACTTATAATCTGAGGAAATTGCAGGTAAATGTGGTAAATACATAGGGATTGGAATAGCTGCCAGTTTCATTTGCTATGCAGCCACATGCTTATGGAAATAAGCGGTTACCGGGATTCATTACCGATGGTCGTATTTGATGCAATCGTTGCTTGATCGCCTGTGTCCGAGAAATTTAGTGTCACACTTTCATCACCGCTGCTGCTAGTTGGTTTGGTAACTGCCCGACATTTCAGATGGCCGATAATATGCTAAATTTGGCGCTGCCAGTGTGACAGTTGTTCTGAGGGCAGAGTACGGAGGCGGATCATCGCGCCTGTGGGCCATATAACCACGAAAAAAAAAACAGCTCAATAATCTTTTACGCCTCGAGAAAATACTGGCCTTGTAGTACTCAAAGTTTTTTCCGGATCCCGTCGTGTGAACCAGGACGTGAAACTTAGCATTATTCTTCCTCACTGCTGTTGCCTGTCCGACCATTCACATCCAACATACATTCGCTGACTCTCCAAAGTAGTTTTTCTGTAAATAATTGCACCGGATTCTGTAAACGACTTCAGACCTTTCCTAGCAGGACCAAGCGCCTGATGATGCTTCCAGCCTGCGCGCCACCTCAACTCCAGGCGTGGCGAGAAGGAAGCTTATGGATTTAGAGACTTCTTTGACGTACGGGGGCTGGTGCGATATGGTTTCCGTCTCGTCTTTGCATCAGCCAGTTGGCGAAGTTGCTACAATAGCCATTCGCATTCAGCACCCGTCTGAGGAATATTGATTCGGCTACCTTGTCTTCGAGTTCATTACAAATGTCTCAGGAATCTGATGTAGAGGTCATACGTAAAGGCGTTGGTAACTGATTGAGTGATTGCTGTCGGAGCTTAGTCATTACGTTGTAACTGCACTTTCCTGAATTATTTTAGGTAGTCAGGGTCTCTGCGGCGGACGGGAACATCAAAAAATGTCAGTCGACCGTTTGCTTCCTTCGCCATCGTAAACTGGACATCAGGGAACATAGTGTTAAAGTGTTCTTTGCATATCAACCCCTGTTCTCGTTCAGTGACGGCGAAACTACCTTCCACGCATCGACTACAGAATTTCAGTTTGTGCCGTTGAGAGACCAGTGGCTTTAACCGTTTCAAGACCATCTCCGCCACGAGTCCCATAATCGATGAACCCATTGACGCACATTTAACCGCACATCAATTACTCCATCAACTGTGAAGCACGTTTGGAAACGGAAATTTAGGAGTTAAAAAACTTGGAGGTACCCGAGACGATTCTCCAGCCGATTTATCTTGCAAAGCAAATATGACGAAGTAAAAATTTGCCTCGGGCACGCCCAGGTTCATTTTCAAAATATACTTCACGTTCGACGGGCGGACCTATGACCGGTGAAAAGCCCACCACTGGACTCCCCAATTCCTCTATTCGAGGTACATATGGAGTTTCAAGGGTTGCGGTCAGTGGTCAACTAGCACTACAGACTGCCAGTCTGGGATCGGTGCAAGAAACGAATAGAAATTTTGTCCCATCTATGGAGTCTCCATTATCTCAACCATGTAACTATCTTATTAGTGGATTCCTAGTACATATCTTTAGACTTGTATATGCATATGTATATTGAAGGGTTACAGGCAGAGCCCTTAATGACCCTATTTAAGTACAGTGCTTTCACAGATTCATACTCAAAAATAAAATTAAATTGCAGGCATTTAAAATGTGATTGGTTCACAGTTCAATCGTAATCATAAGGTAGTGCATGGGGTCTCTGTAAATTTGTGCGGAAGATTGTATATGACAGATTTTACAAAACTGGTTGTGCATAGTCATGCTGTACAAGCCGATTTCTGTCGAAAACTAGACGAGCAAGTTTTCTTTTAAACACACAAACTGTGTCAGCCGTCACCATCTCGCTTGGAAGCGAGTTCCACGGTCGATAACACGCTGGCTGAATGAAAATTTTCGTCGGTCTAAACGCGTGCGCTCATTCCCGACTTTGTATGCATGGCAGCGTAGTTGGTTTGTACGGGCGAACTCAAAGAAGTCCTCTGCTCTTAATGAGCAACCCTGGCCGCGAACAATCCGGAAGGTCCAGAGTAGACTGCAGTTTATTTGTCTATAAGAGAGAGGGAATAGGCCAAGCAAATTCAGCCTCTGCTGATAAGACAAATACTTCAGACCGTCGACCATCTTTGTCGCTCTGCGTTGTACCTGTTCGAGTAAGTTGATATCCTTCCTCATCCATGGTGAGGCTGCTGGCATTCCATTCTCTAGATGAGGTCTTACAAAGACACCAAAGAGTCTTTCGAAAAGTTCCGGAGGAAATATTTTAAATGCACGTCTGATCCAGTGTAGAGTACTAGTTGCCTTCTGGACCATCTTTCTACAGTGTTCTGATGGCGATAGATTTGTGGTCGTCCATACATCCAGATCTCTGTGTCTTTCCACAGTTTCTAACCTCGTCCCGTCAATATAGTACTGGTGTTTGAGAGAGACATTGCGGCCGGTGTTC